CAGAGGGTGTGAGTCATTTTAAATCTCACACCTCGGGGACAATGTCAGCTGCACAACGGTGACTGTCCTCAGACTGTGGCTCCCTCGGGGCATCCTTGGCCTTCACCATGACCTCCAACCTGGCGTTTGGCAAATCTGTAAAATGATCTAAAAGTTTATAAAACCAGCTGTCCTTGGAAAACAGAGCAATCGGGCCCTCCTGCATTCTGGTCCCTTCATGGTGACCGTCACTGAGAACCAGCTGCCTAGCACATGGGGGGCCAAGACCTCTCCTTACCAGAGTCTCCACCATTCCTGTTGTGTCCCTGGGAGGCCCACTTCCCTCAGTGGCTTACCCCTCTGACCCTGAGGGGCTCAGGGTGGTCACACTGCTCTGAGCTGACATTCACTGAAAGCTGAACCCATGTCACACATGCTTGACGTGGCTTGACTCATGCTTCCCCACACCAGTCATTCACCATCAGAGTGCTGGGGGGTGGGGGGACCACAGGCCTGAGAGGTGACATCCATTGCCCAAGGCCATGGTGAGAAAATGGTGAAGTGGCAGTCAGGACAGGAAGTTCCAGCCCCGGTGCTACATGAGAACAGACATCTGCTTGCTTCTATACTGAGGACCATTTTCCATGTTAATCAATATTATCTAGGATTATCCAGATAATAAACACAAGAGAAAGAGAAGACAAGAACTTACCCCCAAAAATAAACAAATAAATAACAAGAGTGGAGGTCTATTCTTTCTATTGGCCCAGGTTCACTCTTTAAAGAGCTGCCCTTCTTATGGCTCTAGCAGGGAAATCCATCCTTCTCACCTGCCTCTGGCAACAGGGCTGAGCATGTGACCAGGGGCCTGACCAATCACAGTGTTCCTCCTAGACAGCTACAAGGATTGGGCCAGGGATATGCATATGACCCAGACCAGGCCAATCAGAGTGTCTCCCTGAGTTTTTCGGGGTGGGGGGGGGGTAGTTCCTGTCTCAAAGTCCAAAGTGACTTGGTGTAAGCCCAGGAAGGAGTGGAAAAGAGAGAGAGAAAGAGAATAAGCTAGGACATTTGAGTCTCTGGTATCTATCTGCATTCCCAAGTCCAAAGCCATCACTGACTCTCCAAGACTGAGACAGTAAATTCCAGTTTAAACCAGTCTGAGTCACATTTACTTAAAACCAAAAAGAGATGATCTTGAATTCACCATCATCATTATTCACTTTAATGACTCACACTGGCCCATTTTCCTGTCATAGCATTATTTATTAACCATTCACTCTCAGAGGACATTCAGAAGCTCCCCAAAGTCACTGGTGCCAGGGGTGCTGGGATGAGCCTGGTGCTGGAGGCAATTCCTAGGCATGAACTTGAGCATCCCAGTGTGACCCACTGACCCACTGTCCTCGCCCTCCATCCCTTCCTGGGTTTAGAGAGTCCCAGCCACATGTGTAGGAGGATAGGTCTTTGTCTTGTGCCCATGCTGAAACAGTACATTGCACAGTGGGCCACCAACAACATCAGCTGAATGAATGAATGAATGAATAGGGGAATGAGTGAGTGAATGAATTAGTGAATGGTGAATGGATGAATGAGGGGTTATGAGTGAGTGAGAGAATGAATGAGTGAATGAATGAAGAGAGCTCAGATGGTGCAGCCAAATATGGGTTCAGGGACAGATTCTGCTCCTAATCCACTCTGAGAAGTCCTCTCCCTCTCAGGGCCTCAGTTTCCCATCTGTGAATGAGGTCATTGAATGAAACCACTTCTCAGCTCCTGACTCCCCTGCCCCTGAGCAAGCGCCATCGGAATGCGGAATCCTGAGCTTTCAGACAAGCAGCATGTGTCACCCCGTGGTGCTGCTATGATTCCATCCAGGGACTGGGCCCTCCCATCTCTCCTTGGGGACAGGGACAGGCAAGGAAGAGGGTACCCCAAGGAACTTCCTCCTAAATGTGCCAAGTGAAAAATCTGAAGTCAGACAACTCAGGGTTCGAGTCTGAGCTTTGCCTCTTCCTGGCAAGTGACTAAACCTCTCTGAATTCCGTTTCCAAATAAGGGTTATAACAATATACTTCACTGGTTTTTGGAAGGTATTAAATAAAATGATGAACAAGCACTTAGCAGAGCCTGGCACATAGAGAGTGCTCTGTCAATGGTAATGATGGTTGCTGAAGGACTTTCCGACCCATTTGAAAACTTCCACATGCTGTCCTGTCCCATAACCAATGTTGGATCTCCTCCCTAGTACACAGATGGGAAACAGAGCCCCATTTAGAGCAGAAACACTGAGCACAGGCCAGAAAGAGCTGTAAAGGCGCCTCTTCCCACCTTCATCCTTTCTCCCACCTGGAATTTAGGCCCAATAACTGGAGATGAGGCATCTACTTTGGACCATGAGGAGACAAGGATAGAAGTAGAAAGTTAGAGGTGCCTGGCTGCATGACCAGACTGCTGCATATCCCCATGCTAACTACTTCAGGTTTCTTTCCCATATGACAAAAGCAAATCTCTGATTTCTTTAAACCATCATCATTTGGGTTTTCTGTTTCAGATAAACAACCCCAGCAACTGTGTCCATTTTGCAGATGACAAAAAAATAAGACTCAGGGCCAGGGATTTAGCTCAGTGGTTTCGCCGCCTGCTGCGCAAGTGCAAGGACCCGAGTTTGATCCCTGGTATCAAAAAAAAAAAAGAGAGAGTACCGAAAAAAATAAGACTCAGTGGGGAGGGGGATGATCACACAGCCAGCAAGTGAGGAGTCAAGATTTGAACCCAGACCTCAGTGGCTCCCTGCAGTTGATCCCACCAAACTCTGCTGCCCACCAGGAAAGAGTCTCTCTCTCCCGGGCCAGACACAGTCACGAGTTGTTCAAAAGGACCCAGCAGGGAGGGCAGAGGGAGTGAGGCACATCATGGACAGCTCCTCACAGAGGAGGTGGGGTCTGAGCCTTGGGAATGGGGCAGCAATAACAATTGAATCCCTCAAGCAGCCCTTGGACAGGGAGCCTGGTGCCCAGTGTGATGCTGGCCAGCCACTGGGTCTACCCCAGGAGTGTCAGGGTCCTGGGTTCCCCCAGGGCTCCATGCCTCACAAGGAGGACTCCGGGACTCAGCAGATGGCTGTGCTCACAGCTGTGTTCCACAACAGGAAAGAACCCAGAGCCAGAGCCGCCAAGAGGCCTTCAGGGGCGTCCACAGGACCCCAGACCCAGCTGCCAAGGGTCTGAGCCTGGCAGAACTTAATCCTGCCAGGGTCCAACAGTGACAGCAGGAAAGCAGAGACAGCACAGACTGCTGTTCGCCCAAGCAGCCAAGCCTGAGAGTCACTGTAGCCGATCAGGGAGGAGCCGGGAGCCGTGTCCAGCTCCAGGTCCCCACAGCAGCCCCTGACAGCCTGGCTGTCCCTAGGCAGCAGCCCTGGGCCTGCAGCATCTCTGTCTCTCTCCACACTTCTCTGAGATGACCCAGGAAATAGTGTGTGGTGCCCCAGGTCCAAATGTGCTAAGAAAAATCTAGTTTATCGTGAAGGTCATGTCAACAAGTTTCCCCGGAAAATAACTTTGAGTTATGGAAGAAGCAGGAGAGGGGTACAGGTTCAAAGTATGTGTCCATTAAAATTTTTATTAAAAATAAATCTTTAAAAGCAGCAAAAATTATTATTTTTGCAATTCTCTGGGGCAGCCATTCACAGTAGGCTCAGCTTGATGGTTCTTGTGTGCCCTTGACAAGCTGGTTGCAGCCAGGCCTGGTGTCCAGTGTCCTTGTGACTCTGCGCCCCTCAGCAGCTGGCCCAGGCTGGCTCTGGTGGCAGCCAGGCAGGAGCCCAAGTGCCAGAGTGGGAGCTGTGAGGACTTTTAAAGCTTGGTCTCAAAAGTCCCATAACGAGCCAGTGCAGGGTGCAGGTCTATAATCCCAGAAGTGTGGAAGGCTGAGGCAGGAGGATCACAAGTTCAAGGTCCACCTGGGCAATTTAGTGAGACAATGCCTCAAAAAATAAAAAAGGCTGGAGATATAGCCCAATATGAAGGCCCCAGGTTCAATCCCCAGCACCAAAAACAAAAATATCCAAAACGTCATCTCTTCCATGTTCCACTGCGCACAGAAAAAGCCCAAGGACCATGAATTTCCAAGGGAGGAGAAATGGGCTCCACCTCTCGAGTGGATACCGGTCTCCCCATTGGAACAGGCTGTCTAGGGCACAGAGCTGACCCTGTCCTCCAGGGCTCCAAACAGATGGGGAAACGACAAATAAACCCACATGAGCCATGGAGCTACAAGAAATGAACGTTTATTTTCTAGTTATTTCTTTACACAGCATCTTTTCTGTAAAGGAATTGAGTGACCCTGCCAGAAAAGTATAAGCAATAAAACTTTGACTTTTAACCAGGGGAGAAAGTGAAAGCCTAGCTTAAATGGAGAAAGTGTTTTGTGAGCACTGTGTCCCGAGCACTCACACCCACTTGCTCCATGGTTTCCGCCTCTCTGGGGTGAAGATTACCATTCCTCTCCTAGGTAAACAAAGTAAGGCTCACCACAGGGAACGGGCTAGCCACATCTACAAGGTCCTGTGTGACACAGCTGACAACCAGTCAGCTAAGTCTGGCCCCGCACTCCATATACTGTCCTAGAATAGCTGTAGATGCAGCTCAGCTTTGATAGTGAGTTTCCCAGCAGCCTGGGGGGAACAGGAAACTGGACGTATTACCCAGTTCGTCCCTAGATAGCCAAAAGCCAGGCAGGCATGTCTTTGAAGGAAAGCAAAGCCCTTCCTAGCACTGAATTCATTTGTTTGCGCTCAAGTGGGAGTTCACAAAAGAAACCTTGTGGGGTAGAATATGGGGCTGTCAGGACTATACAAGTTGAGCTGTCCTTTGACCTATGTGCAGGGGGGCCAAATGCCCACGCTCTCCTGGAAAAGGCTGTGTCCTCATTGACTTCTTCCTCTACAGTTGCACAAGTCCTAAGCACGTGTTTGTCTCTATCACACTGTGTCCCCTCCCACACCTCAGATGCAAAGTAAAAACTCAGTGCTTTTAGGAAGTGCAGCGGCATCAGAAGGCTGCACAGACCCCAGCAGCCTGGATTTACTTCCTCCCCACGAGGACTAGGCAGGCAGGGCAGGCAGGAAGGGCCTGTCACCAGCAAGGTGACACATTCCTGCCCAGCCAGCCCAAGCAGCAGCTAGGCCAGCAGACAAGGGGCACAGCCACTGCTCCCCCAGGGCTTCGGAATGGACCTGTGCCACCCAGGTAAGCATGGGCAGAGTCTCCAGCCTCCGTGTCCTCTTCTGTAGAGCGGGGACCTAGTGGCTGCCTTGCGGGTCCTGGAAGGGACAGAGAGGGAAGCACAGAGTCCAGCAAGGACCCTGGAGAGCCCAGGTTGGATCCAGCAGGGCTTGGGGCTGGTGCCATCCCTGCTCCTGTGCAGTTTTGCCCCTGGGGGTGGGGCACAGATGACAGGTAGTGTGACAGCGACGTCAGTTGGTAGCAGGCAGGACAAGAGCAGTGCAGGAGGAGGCAGAGGGGAGAAGGCGCTGAGGAGGAGATGGCGCTGGAGCCCAGCCCTGCAGGGGAGCAGAGATTTTGAGTTCCTCCAGGCAGGAGCAGCCGCGCAGAGGCCTGGAGTGGGGTGGGGGACGATGACTCACTGTGAAAAAGGTGATACTGTTGGTGGCAGTGGTGCCTGTCTGGGTGGTACACAGCCCTGAAGCCCCTTTTTGGCCCTGGAGGGTTGATGGTGGCCTTCGGGGAGCAGGGGACACTGCCTCAGGCCAGCAGAAGGCCAGGCACGGGCAGCACAGAACTGGACTGTGACCCTCAGGGACAAGGACAGCAGCTCCAGGGGCAAAGGGGACGATGAGGGCTGCTGAGCTGCTCCCTGGGAGGTGGAGGGGGCCCCGGAGAGGGCTGAGCCCCGATTCTCAGAACGTCCGCCTGCAACTCCAGCAGCCAAGGCTAGGGCAGCAGGAGCTGGCTGCTCCCCGGGTCCAGCAGAAGCACAGGTGCTCTTCAAACAAAACCTAATGTGGAGCAGCTGGGCCACCCTGGGTGTCCCCTAGGGAGAAGCCTGGACTTCAGAGGCCAGGAAAGAACTTTCTCAGGGTGGCAGAGGCAGGACTCTCCCCCCCAGGCCACCTCTCCTCCCAGGGGCTTTGGGGACAGACGGCTCCCACCCACTAGGCTCAGTGGCCATGGCTTAGGAGACAGCAAGAGGCAAGAAGAGATTGAGGGCAACGCAGGGCCTGACTCACCAGTCCCCGGCAGGCAAGTGACACCGTGACAAGCGGCCCTCCCACACCACCTGCCTGCCTGGCCACCACTATGACTTTGGCTTTTTGGGTCCTAGCACCCTGAGATGACAGGGCCTGTTGCCCCATGTCACAAGTAGGGAAACCGGAGCTCACAGAAGTGAACTGGAGGCGAGGGCTGGCTTGCTCCAGGTCAAGTGGCTGAGCAAGGACAAGGGCTGGAGACAGAGAAGAGGACACCAGGTTGGCCCAGGCCGTGGAGAGGACCTGGGCACCCCAGGACCAAAGAGGGGTCTCTGCCTTGCTGTGGGCTGACCAGGAAGAAGGGCGCTGAAGAGCTCAGCGCAGGCTCTGTGGGGAGACCCAGAGTCTCCAAGGGTTGATTTGTCCTTTCATTCATCCATCCATTCATTCATTCATTCATTCATTGGTTCTCGGAACAGTCCTCCATGCAATGTGCAGGGTGGGGGAGTTACGGGTCCAGGAGATTGAGGTTCAGAGGAAAGAGGGACACAGATGCTGCAGCGCTCTGAGCCTGACCTGGGGTGGGGAGGAAGCATCTCTCCCACCAGAGGGGAGATCTGGCAGATCTTCCTGGAGGAGGTTGGTACCACCCCTAGTTGCCCAGGCTGGATCTTAATTGGAGGTGCTTGGTGGTCAGGTGATGTCATGTATCTTCATGCAGAAGAGCATCGCAAGCAGAGACCTGGAGTCAGCAGATGAGCCTGGATCCAGCTCTGTCCAGCCCCTTCCTGATGTGGGCCTCAGTTTCCCCATCCTCACTCAGCACAGGGTGGTGGCAAAGGTTCCCCCCAGTGGGGCCAACTCCCACCTCCGCCATGGCATGTGACATCCATGCGGAGCAGGTTAGGCCTTCCCCAGGGCCTGTCCGGAAGGAGGGATGGTGACAGGCCATCAACCCCAGGCAAGTTGCGGAGGACCACGGGCAGCACAGTTAAAAATAGAGCATGTGTGGCTGGGACAGGAAGCCACACCCGGCCATATCTGCAGGGTTCTGGGGCCTGGGGCCAAGGCAGGGCAGGCCCTAAGCCCAGCGCCTCACACTGAGCCTCTTGGGGGGCCTCCAGCCTCGGGGAGCCAGGAAGGTGACCCCTTGCCCCTCAAGAAAGGGGAAGTGGATCCAGCTGTCCTGGAACCAGGCTGCAAGTACAAAGATTTCTAAAAATACGATAGGAAAGAGGAAGGACAAAGGGGAAGTGGAGAGGACCCAGGGAGCTGGCTGGGTGGCACCAGATACCCAGTGGGCAACCAGTGGGTCCCCAGCAGGCCTGAGCGCCAGGCAGCTGCAGGGCAGGCACAGGGGTCAGCAGACCACAGGGCCTGTGGGCTGCAGGCAAGACTCAGCACTGAGGGGGAGCAGGCAGGGCTCAGCAGTGTGGGCAGAATGGAAATGTTATTATTTCTGTGCAATATTATCAAAACTACATCTCCCGTGTCTGAAATCCCATCCTTCCCGGGCTGAGAATCCAAAGTGGTCCCTCACTACCTGAAACCTCAGGGTCCTCAGCTCTGAAGTGGGCAGAAATGCCCCCCTTTTAAGAAGCAGTCAGACAGAGAATCACAGGCCCCCGTGCCCCCACATGCCCCGTGTCACAGGCTGCAGCTGGGGACCGTCAGTGGTGTGCAGAGGGTTGGAATGTGCCTGGCCAATTGCCAACCCCTGGGGACAATCTGGACAGAAGGGGACAGTCCGCTGAGAGGTCCCCAAATACACCTGCCAACCGTGGAGTGCAAAGGAAGACATAAGCCACCCCTGACTGTACCCATGCAGCACCACTCTGTGGGGAACTGTTACTGTTGTGTTGATTTCCATCCGTAATCTGCCTCAGTTTCCCCAGCTCTACAATGCTGGCTTGGGAGGGGCCTGGAGGCCCAACTACTGGCATCATTCTGCATCTCTGTCATTCTCAAATATGTAACTACTCCCTGTCAGGATGTCCAGGGTTGGTGCTGAGTGGGTTTCGGCAATTTATATGGGGGTAAGAGGAGTGATCAAAATATAGATGAATGCCTAAATTTTTAAAAATTTATTATAGTAAAACACATTGCCATGAATCTCTCTCAAAATCCTCGCTCTCAATTTGAACACACTTATCCCATTGTTCCTGCCACTTTTTGAAGCAGTTCCTGAAGTCCTCTTTCATGAGTGTCTCTATGAGACATGATCAAAAATACAGTGAATGCTGCTGCCAAGTGCCAGCCTATAGAAAGGCAGGCTCGTAAAAACATTATGATGTGTCCTTATCTACTTTATTCACCAGATCTGTCATGAGAAGAACTATGAAAAATAAACAATTTGAATCAATTCACGACATTAAGGCAGACACAACAGCACAACTAAAGACACTCGGGAAAGAGGACTTCTGACCTGCTTCAGACAGTGGCAAGGGTGATAGGATGGGTGTGTTTGAAGAGAGAGGGAGGATTTTGAGGAGGATCCCTGCATTTTCACATCTCCCATCCTTCTTCTCAAAGTGAACCTCAGGACTGAGGTCTGGGAGCCCCAGGCTGGCCCAGCTCTGCCTCCTCCTGGCTGAATCAGCCCAGGCAGGTCGCCTAACCTCTCAGCCCCAGGTGCTCATGTGCGGGGTGAGATAGAAAGACCTTCGCTGCATAGTTTTGGGGAGTCCCTGAGCTGGCGGATGGGAGGAGCTAGAGCGTCCAGGGCCCAGACACGGCCAGTGCTCGCCCCCAGGCCTGTCCTGCCCAGGGGTCCCGCTGTTCACAGCAGCATACCAGTCCCAGAGATGCAGGGTGCAGGTGGGGGCCGTGACAGCAGGAGGGAAATGGACAGGGCTTGTGACAGAGGGGTGTGCAGGGCGAGAGTGAGGAGGGACTCAGGCTGGCTCCTGGGAGCTCAGGATGCAGGAAGAGCAGGTGGAACAGAATTGTAGGGGACCAATTTTGGGCACAATGACAAGAGCAGCAATGGCTGAGTACAGAGGGGGCGCTCGTGTCTAAAGCTCAGAGAAGGAGTTGAGCCCGAGAGGAGGTAGGAGCCCCTGGGAAGAGGGGAGGTGGCCCAGGACTGGGCTACCCACACTGGGGACCACCCATCAGAACTGAAGCCCAGCCGGCCATAGTGCCACACACCTGCAATCTGGGAGGCTAAGGCAGGAGGACGACAAGTTAGAGCCCTGCATGAGCAACTTAGTGACTTAAGGAGACCCTATCTCAAAATAAAATTTAAAAAAAAGAAATCCGAAGCCTGGAGCACCTTTCGCCCCTCCAGCAGGTGTGCCCTGTCCACAGACCAAGGAGCGGGAGTTCCCCTGCCCGCACAGCCAGCCAGAGAGGGGGGCATTCCCCATGGGTGGGACCAGTGGGGTCTTGCACCCCAGCCCGGCCACTCCAGAGACCTTCCAGCCTCAGCCTCACTCCAAGCTGGCACCTGCCTGTCTCCCAGGAGTGCCTGTCCTAGCATGCCAAGGGGCCCAGCAGCATGGGCTTCCACCTAAGTGGCCGAGCAGTGGTCAGGAAGCACCTGTCCCTACCTGGAAGGCTGCGCTGATGTGGCAAGGCTGGCCTTGGCAGGCTGCACGCTATGTGCCAGGCACGTGCATCTCACCCAGGCCTCCCATCCACCTGTCATCTTCACCCGTCTGTCCATGAACACGCTGTGACCTATATGGTGGCTGTCATCACTGCAATGGTCAGGCCTCTTCCGATTCCGTCGTGATGGAGGGCAGGAGGGGGATCTGATCCTGGGGCAAGGCTGCCAAGGGCCCAGCTGTCCATGCCCTGGGGTACACACCCTTTCTACCCCTCCTTCCCGACACAGGTGACAGGAATTTATCTGCCAGACTGATGCCTGCACCACGCGCCAAGGCCCCGTTCATTGCTCTAGCAAAGATCCCACATCTGGTGCAGCAGCTGCCACAGTCTGGTTAGCCTGTGGGGTCTGCAGCTGCCCTCTAGACTGGTGACCTGCGAGGGGGTAATGAAGGCCATCGTCCACACCCTGCGAGTCCCAGGGTGGCCATAACCCTGCTCTCCCCTCGGCCTGCACTGTGTTTTCCTCTTAGCTGTGGGTGACGGACAGCTCACAGACTTCCCAACACCTCCCCACCGCCATGACTCCCTGACCCTCAGGCCAGGGTCCGGTATGGGTCAAGCACCCCCAAGTCCACTCCAATGACACCTGTAGACCAGGAAAGTGGCTACAAACCAAGTGGACACACTGCGAGCTGGACCTGGGTGGACTCTATCAGCCACCTAACCTCCACCCTCTAAGGGGCCCAGGGTGACACTCCAGTCCCAGTGCCAGGGTCGGCCTGGATCCTGTGGCTGGCAGTCCTCAACATATTTGGAGACCCTTGTTTCCCAGTGTACGGTTACTGTGGTGCTTTAGGGAAGAAGCAGGATTGTCACCCTGTACACTTGCTAAGGCGTTGCAGGACACTACTCTCCGGCAACCAGGCTCCTTCCCCTGGTGCCTGCCACCTCGACATGGGACTTCCATCTCCAAGTCCAAGCTGGCTGCTCAGTCAGAGGGGGTGGGGAGCAGGGAAAGGGGGTGCTCGGTGCTCTCTCTGTGTTCACTCAGGGGAGAGGACATATACCCTGGGGAAAACTTTAAGCACTGTGACCAGGCCCTTTCTCAAGCTAGGACCAGAAGTTCAGGGGGGATTTGGATACATGGATGGGAAAGGGCGTCTCCAAGGACAGGAGCTGCCTGAGGCTGGACTGGAAGGCTCGGGTACAGAATGGTGGGAGGAAGGCCGGCTGGACAGGCTGGGGACACTGGGAAGGCCCAGAGGCAGGAGAAGATTTTTCCTCTCAGTGGCAGGGAGTCCAAGGAGACTTCAGCCACAGAGTGCTATGGACAGAGCAGGTCACCCCATCTTGCACAGAGCACCACACCCACTGCCTCAGTGAACTCATTTCCAGATCAGCAAGCACTGGCTTTGCAGCCAGCCCACCCCACGGTCTCAGCCTAGATCAGCAACTATGTCCCTTTGGGATTTTGTCCAGGTCACCTCACCTCTCTGAGCCTCAGTCTCTAGGGGCAAGGACTGTCAAATGTCTCCCAAATCCAGCCTCCCTGTCTTGGAGAGTGAGGATGTCAGGACCACCCTATTAAAGGCTCGTTTCCCAGCCTCCCCAGCAGCTAGGGTGGCCATGTGACTATGCTCAGGCCAATCAAGTATGAGGCAAAATTTTATATCACTTCCTGGTAAGTAGGTAAATAAATAATAGTCACAGGAGCTGGTGAAGAAGTCGGTGGGAGTTCCAGGGAAGGACAATGGCCTTCAGCAAAACATATTTTAGTCCTTACTGGTGCTGTGATTACAGCAGTGGGCAAAAAGCAAAATGGTTGAATGACCAAGGAGCTGAGTCTAATCGGGGAAAGAGGGAAGTGTCTCTCTTTCAAGGGTGGAAGAACCAGCGTGCTCGGGGCAGGCTCTCAGGAGGCTGCACCCTGGTGAGGCCCAAGTGCAAAGGTCAAGCCAGGCCCGCTTCTGGGGACAGAGGCGCTGTGCAAGTGGCCAAAGCAAGGGCCTTCTCTCTCCAGAGTCTGCCGAGCTGAGCAGCAGGGAGACAGAGGAACTGCAGAGGATCAAATGGCACCGGAAGCAGCTGCTGGAGGACATCCAGGTGTGTGCACTCAGATCCACACACACATGCACGGGACCCCCGAGAACCACACACACACACACACACCTCCCACTCCCTCCTGGCCCAACCTGACCTGGGACTGATGGTGGGGGCAAGAACAGTGGGCATCAGCGGGAATTCCAGAGGTGGCCTGGGCCCTGGGAGGACGGGGAGCAATCGCACAGAGTGCCCAGCGCGTGCTGAGCCCCGTAACCCCCGTTCTCGCCCCCTTGATTGCACACAGGTGGAATCCAGCTGTGTGGCCTCCGTCAGGCCTGCCCCTCCCCATCTAGACCGTTTAGCCAAGATGATGCCCACTGTGTGCCCAGCATCTGCCAGCCCACTGATTAGGATTATGGAGGGGTTTTTTGGGGGGATGTTGGAAGTGGAACCTAGGGCCACACACATTCTAGGCAAGAGCACTACCACTGAGCACGTCCCCAGCCCTCCTCGTCATTTCTTACACACGTGCTCATCTGACTCAGCACTCTCTAAGACAGGCCTGGGTCCTTGGAAGATGCCTTGCTCAGTCCTGCCCCAGGCCCTCTGCCTGGGGCTCTCCTATCTCCCCTCTTGGCTTCTGCTTCTCATAACTTCATTCTTGGCTCAAACTCTCCCTCTCCTCCTCCAGGCTGTCTGACTGCCCTGGCTACCACCGCCGTCCTCTCCCATCAACACTCACACATGCACACGTATGATCTATACAAAATCATGTATTCAGTTAGTATTTCATTGAGCACCTACTATGTCCCAGTTTCTTTCTGTACAAGCCCTCTGATAATTTTATGCATTGTCATTTCATTTGCCTCATGGCTGCATGGTCCCAGCCCCACCAGACCATGGGCTCCCTGAAGGCAGAGCCCAGTCCTGGCTGCCCAGCCCAGTTGTCAGAGCATGCAGGCTCTGCATGGTCCATACCTTCCAGCGAGCCCCAACTTTATATGTGGGGATCACTTAATGACTCCCCCAAGATAGCATGGACAGGAGATGCCTGGGCTCAGAGAAGGGCTTTTAGGCCCCCACGATATCGCTGAGTCCTAGAAGAAGCCCCTAGGAGCAGCCCATGCCCAGCACCCCACAAATCTTGGGGTGACTCTCACTGGGGGCACTTGGCAGGTGCTCACATGCTGCCTGCTGGGGATGTGGGCCAGCTTCCCACCTCCCCATCTGCCCAGTATGTGGCTGGAGGGGCAGGTCAGGGGTCTCCTGCACTCTGGGGTCAAGATGACAAAGGCCTGGGGTGGGGTCAGAGAGCTCAGCTTGGAGTGAGATCTTGGGCACCTCACTTCACCTCTCTGTGCCTCAGTGTCCCCTTCAATGTATTTCACTGAGCTGCAAAGTCCCTGAGAAGAGGGCCTGTGCCCTGAGCCCCATGTCCTGGTGGCCTGTGGTGTCTGGCAGGTGGCAGGGACTGACAGGAGAGAGGGACAGAGCACGGAGTGAAGCCAGCAGGGAGGGGCCTGACCGCAACGAGGAAACCGAATGGAGGGGGCAGCAGGGAGCCCCAGGAGGGATTGGAGCCTGGAAGGGCGGGCTCCAAGCTATGCCTGGGAAAGCCCCCCACGGGTGAGGAGGGCCCAGCAGTAGGCTTGGCTCTGGGCATGAGATGTCCCAAAGCGGTGGGAAGAGAAGGCAAGGCTGGAAATGGGGCCAGTCGACCGCTGGCACAAGAGCAAGGGCAAGATGAGCGCAGAGGCAGCGAGTTCGTGGGACTTCAAGGCCTGAGACCTCGTCAGAGGGGCCGTCCTCCGAGGAGGGTCCTCAGACTGGGGCTGAGAGCAGAGGTCAGAAAGAGGGGCAGAGCCGGATCACCCCAGGGGCCTGACCTAGGGCCTGACTCCACCCCGCAGAAGCTGAAGGACGAGATCGCAGAGGTGTTTGCCCAGATCGACTGCTTCGAGAGGGCGGAGGACAGGTGAGGGGAGCTGCAGCGGCTGCGCGCTAGGCACATCTGCCACGTCCCCAGCTCCTAGAGCCCCTAGAGCCCACCGCCCCCGGTTCTCAGCGCCCTAACGCCCCGCAGTGTGGAGGCAAGGGGTGCTGTCACCCGCTTTACAGATGAGGAATCCGAGGCCTGGAGGGAGGGAGTGACTCTCCCAAAGCGGCTCCCCCTGGTGGTGAGCTGGGAATTGCACCCAGGAGTCATCTCGGGGCCTGCGCCCCTCACCCTACCTGCAGCCCCAGGCCCTGTGGCTCCCCGGAAGGGCCCTGGGGAGGGGGGCGCGGGGTCCCAAGCCGCTCACTGACTGCCCTCGGGTCCGCAGCCGGATGGCACAGAAAGAGAAGGAGCTGTGCATCGGGCGCAAGAAGTTCAACATGGACCCCGTGAAGGTCAGCGGGGGACAGGGTGGGGGCTGCACCCGGGGACCCTCCTAGCGTCCTCTCCTTCCCTTCTTTGCACAGTGGGATCCTTAGATCTAGGGCTCGGTCCCCAAAGATGTGCTCCTGCCCGGGGCTGGGGGGAACCCTCCTGGGGTCTCACCACCGCCCCCTGCCGGCATGGAGGCCCCCATCCGCAGCCGCGCAGAGCAGCCCCCTGACCGGCCAGCCCTGTCTCTCCCCCAGCCCAGCCCGGAGTGACACTTCATTCACAGTGACAGCCACAGCCAGGCCCGGGCCCCATCCACGCCTCCCGCCCCTCCCCCGCCACGCACCTCCAGACCCCACCTGCCAGCCCCGTCCAGGGGAGCAGGACTGGTCCCAGACTCCGGACTCCGGAAGCCAGACCTTGCGGGCCATGGGGGACTTGGGCTGTTTCCTGCCCTTTGGATTTAGCTCTTTTTTTTCTCCAACTTCTATACAATGGACATGGATTACTTGTGTGACAAAGAGAAACAGTATTTTTAAATAATGTAAGTTTTCGGGGAACAAAAGAAAAGGCTGAATCTTAGAATGATGAATGCATAGAATTGTTGAAGCAAAGGCTCCAGGCTGAAGGGGACCCTGGGGAGCGCCTGGCACGAACCTGGTTGGTCCAGGGATGAGGAACTCACCACTTCACAAAGGCACTTTCTATTAGGGAGGGACAGACTGCCAGAGTAGGCTGTGCCACTCCAGAACAAGGGACCCCGGGCTCCCCCTCCCTGCCCTCCTCCTCCTCCTCCTTGTCAGCCTCTGTTGGCGGGGCTGCCACAGGCTCTGTCCCCCCAGGGCATCCAGTATCTCACAGAGCACAAGCTGCTGCCGCCCTGCGCCCAGGACATTGCCCAGTTCCTGTACAAGGGCGAGGGCCTCAACAAGACGGCCATCGGCACCTACCTGGGGGAGAGGTGAGGGCAGGGCAGGGTGGCCAGAATCGGGGGTGTGCGAGAGAGTGACAGGGGAGTCACAGCTTGGGGGCTGCTCACACCCTCCTCATGAACTGAACAGGTGCTGGTCCCTGGGGTCTCCCTGCTGCAGGCACCACTCTAGGTCCTGATTCCCAAGACAGCAGGTCCTGCCCTGGGGCGGGGAGATGGATGCCAGTGGGTGCCACTCATCATACAGCCCTGAGTTGCCTGATGTTCAGAAAAGGCACAGAGGGGTCAGAGTACCGATGGCCCTGGGTCCCCTGCTGTGATTGTAGGGAGGATGGACAGGAAAGTTCTCAGGAGGTGGCCGGTGGGCAGTGCACACATCTGGGGAAGAGCACTCCAAGCAGCTAGAACAGCCAGTGCAAAGGCCCTGGGGCAGGAGCAGCTCAGGGAACAGCAGGCTGGGGAGACTGAAGGGAGTGAGGGGGATGATGGACGTGGTAGGGCTGAGGTAAGATCTGCGGGAGGGGCCTGGGTGGAGGAGTGATGTGAAACCACCCTCCTGCTAGTCCATAGGGATGGAGCAGAGGGCAAGAGGGCACAGCGGGGGAAGAGTGGCTGGATATGAGCACTGGGGGGCATCCCGGGAGGCTGGACATCTCCTCCCTCGCCGCCCCTGCAGGAGGGGCCACCGGCAAGTTCCCAAGTGCACCCCCACCTTCTCCCCAGGGACCCCCTCAACCTGCAAGTCCTCCAGGCCTTCGTGGACTGCCACGAGTTCACCAACCTCAACCTCGTCCAGGCTCTCAGGTGAGTGGTGGACAGGGCCTGCCCTGGAGGGCGACAGCCTGGGGGTGTGGAGTTGGGATCCCCAGAGGCAAAGACATTGCCATGGGGAAGAAACAGGAGAGCCCGGGAGCCTGGAGACTGCCCCTGCCTGGGGCTGAGGCACGGACCAGGGCCTGGCCCCTTGGGAAGGTGCTGCTTTGGGGGCAGTGCTGGTTTTGTTTAACTAATACCACCCAGTACGTCCTGCACTTGGTGCTTTCTGGTCAGGATACTGCTATTGCGATTTGCAATTTCATCACTATGAGAAACATCAGGCACAGGGTTCAGGACACAAACTCTGGAGCCAGACTGACCAGGTCCAGTGCCAGCTTTGCCACTCTGCCTATGTGACCCAGGGCAAGTCTCTGTGCCCCAGGTTCTTCATCTGTAAAGTGGGCGTAATAACTGTACTGCCTTCGTAGGGCTGTGAGTACTAAATGAGGAAGCCCTTGGAACCGGCCCACAGGAGGTGCTTAGGGAGACTTGCTGCTGGTGGTAATGCCAGGGAAGTCAGCTCCTAAGAAGGCGCACTTGATCTGGGCTTTGAAGGATGAGTAGGAGTTTGCAAGAAAGAAGCCAGCACCCTCCATCTCCCACAATCTTTAAAGGAAAGGAGTAGATGGCTTAGAGTCTCCTGCTAGGAGCAGGCACAGCCTGTACCCTAGGGGGCTCACCCTGCAATCTCCAGCTTCCTGCGCAGGAGGGAAGCGTAGGTTCCAGGAACAGAGGCCCTGCCAGGGGAAAGCACTTCCCCAAGGTGGCACAGACAGATCCCGGGGCTCAGTGGCTGGGGCAGACTGGGCCACAGTCCAGAGGGGTACGGGGAGTGCTTCTCACAGTCCATGCTTGCTGCCTGCCTGTATGAGCCCCTCTGCTGCCCGCTCCTCCCAGGCAGTTCCTGTGGAGCTTCCGGCTGCCAGGTGAGGCCCAGAAGATTGACCGCATGATGGAGGCCTTCGCCGCCCGCTACTCCCTCTGCAACCCAGGCGTCTTCCAGTCCACAGGTGCAACCCCTTGGCACGGCCAGGCTCCACCCCCACAGTCTTTCCTGAGCCCCAGACCCTGGAGCCCACACCTTTCTGCCTTCCCTGAGTGCCACCTCCATGCCAGGCACTCTGCTGGGCACTTGTCAGGCAGAGCTGCCTGGGGACACGGTCCTGAGATGGCAGGGAATGGTGGCACAAGGTGCCAAAGCAACAGCAACCCTGTCTGAGTGCAGGGGTAGGGGAGTCAGCATGTCCATAATGACTTCTCAGAGGTAATAAAGTCCAAGTAGGGTTTTGAAGGATGAATAGGAGTTCTCTATGATATTTTTGGCTAGAATTTCAGTTTAAACAAAGGCTCAGAAGCATGAAACGGTGGGGCAGGGTGTAAGGGACAAAGACCATAGAAGGAGATCAGCAAAGCTGAGTGTTCCACCCTCTCTCCCAGGGCTAACCAAATGCCCATACAAAGACACCAGAGGACAGGGTGAGCAAGGGGCCATGCAGCCCACTTGCCCTGGCCTCTTCTGTGGATCTAGAGGTAAAATAATACCAGCCAATTCCATTTATGGAGCTGGCCTGGGGACTGGAGAGTACAAGGGTGCAAGGTCACTACCAGCCTGCATCAAGGTCATGACTACTTGTGTCTGTCCCTGAGTCTGTATCCTCCAGACTCAGAGAGGGGATGACATCAGCAGATGTGCAGCCCCTCAGCCACGTCCAGGGACAAGTCCTTAGAGCCTTTGCCCTCCCCAGCCATTATACATTGCCACATACGCATCCCACGAGGGCAGGGCCATGTCAGCCCTGTCCACCAGGGCCTCAGGCCCCAGCACGGTGCGGTACTCAACAGATCCCAGGGCGGGAGGAAGGGATTTCCAAAGCACTAGGTGGCAACCCTCTGTGAAACGGGGTGAGGGATGGGAGCTGCCTGCAAGGGCAGCATGGGGAGGTTGAGCCTCGCTCCCAGCAAGAGCAGCACCCTGTGAGCCATTGCAGTTGCCAGAGGTGCGGTTGCCCATGTTCTAGAACATGGAGCCGCAGCAGTGCCCCACCTCTGGAAGCCACAGACAGGGAAGCTGCAGGTCAAGGGCGCTGAGTACTTCCCAAGGTCGCAAGGAGCCGGAGGCCCCTCGTAGGGCCCAGAGTAGCCAGCAGGGATCCCGCGCCTCACCCTGATCACAAGTGGGGGCCACACAGGGGCTGAACTGGCTTCGAGCCCCACAAGGGCAGCCCAAGGTAGAGCCTGAACAGCGCTGCCAGGCCTGTGACATGGCCCGGTCCCACAGACACCTGCTACGTGCTGTCCTTCTCCATCATCATGCTCAACACCAGCCTCCACAATCCCAACGTGCGCGACCGGCCGCCCTTTGAGCGCTTCGTGTCCATGAACCGGGGCATCAACGATGGCGGGGACCTGCCCCAGGAGCAGCTGCGGGTAAGGGGCACAGTCACTGCTGCAGGCAGGTGGGTGGCCAGGAGGGCTGGTCCCTAGATGGCTGAGATGAACCATCACAAATGCAGCCAAGCCCAATGCGGGCTACTGGCAGGGATGTGGGCCAGTGTGTCCCGGCCTCTGAGTGACAGGCTCAGGGCAGTGCAGAGCCAGGAGCAATCTACGCTCGGGAGAAAGGCAGAGCCTGGCCTGGCCACATGAATGGCCAGGGCCCAAGGGGATGTGCACAGCCCCACTCAGGCTCAGCATCCCCAGAACCTCCTGCCTCAGTAGTCAGGGTGCAGGGCTGGTTCTGGACTGGTTCTGTCCCTGGCTGGAGCAGAGCCTCTCTCTGAGCCCCTGGCTGCCTCAGTTTCGAGAGCAGGACATTTGACACCACAGGGCCAGGCCATAGAATGAGGGCGTGAGGGGTCCCACGGCCCCTGCCTGCCCGCAGAGTGACCTTGGGTAATGACACACTGGGGACCACAGAGGGTGGGGACAATCGGGCCTGTGTCACAGAGCTGCTCTGAGTCGCAATTTTACCAATGTAAAGGGCGCAGCCCGGGCCAAGTGCCCAATGTGGGCTCTGCACGGTGGCTCGTGTCCCTGTGCAGGACGGTTAATACTGAGACAAACAGCACGTGGTGAAATGCTGCAGCAGCAGAGGCTTGGCGAGCCTGGTCACTGCCGGCCTGTGGGCGCTGCTGGCCACACCCTGATCTTGGCATTGGTTGAAGGTGTGAGTTGCAGGCCCCGCCTAGCCCTGCCAGGTATCCCAGATGCCGCATCCCTGCCGCCAGCTGCCAGCAGCCTCCTTGGCACCTCGCTCTTCATTTCCACCTCGGGTCTTTGTTAATAACAGTGCTCGAGTGTACGTGGAGCTGGGAACATCATCTCGCAGGGCTGGGTCAGCTTATTGTCTCCATTTAGCCTCTGACTCCACCTGGGGGATCTGCAAAGGGTTATTATCCTCCTGGCAGCCCAGAGGTGGCACAGAGGAGGGAAGAAAAGAGAGCCGAGTCCCAGCCACCGCCGCCCCAGCTGGCCCCCTCCCTGGCTGAGATCTCGGGCGACGGGCTTGGGCTCCCAGAGCCCCTGCTCGGAGGTCAGTGTGGAAGTGCTGGGCACTCAGCAAAGTGCCTGGGTAGGGGGAGAGGCTAAAGAATCTCAAAGCTTTGCTGGCATTGTCATGGAGCACACAGGACCTGACCCCACTAAAGAGCTTCGCAGGTAGCTGCAAGGACTTGGGGTCCCTCTGCCCTTCTCTCTGGGCCTCATTCTCCCCAAATCAGCAAACGCAGGGCTTTCAGCCTCTTTGTGGAAGAGAACTCTTGATGAAGAGACCCCCGACAGGCCCTTGCTGGAGAGGACACATAATACTTTCCTGTGCCCCATGTACAATATTAAAGGCACAGATGTTTGACCTAAATGGAGGTCACCCCAAGGGCACACAGGGGCCCTGCAGATGCACAGGTGGGAAAGGCTTCAAGGTGTGAGGGGGCAGTGGGGGACAGGTGCCTGGAGCCAGTTAGGCCCTGGCTGATCCACAGGGGCCAGGCAGAGAGCTCAGGGGGCTCCAGGCAAAGAGACAGGGCCAGGAGATCAGTGCCAGCTCTACCCTTGCCGCTGTGACACTGGGCACTGGCCTCAGTTCCCTCATCTGTACAGTGGAGTGATGACTCTGACTCAGTGTTCTCCTACAAGCAGAGGTGGGCTCTGGCAAGCAGGGAGGATGGCAGGGGGACCAGGCACTCCATCCTCTGGTGGTACAGGTGGAGAACTGAGGCCCAGGCAGGTGCCAAGTCTCTCAGCCCTGGACCCTCTGGGTCCCTTCCAGATCCCTCTATTAGAGCATCCTGTGTACGAGGCACAGTTGTAGGTGCTATGTGTTCTCATTTACTTCCCACTCCCTGGTGTACAGCTAAAACACTGGGCTCCAAGGGACACAACAGGTCAGAAGGCATACACCTGTGAAGAGGCCTAGTACACACTACATCTGATTCCAGAGCCCTTTTCTCTAGAGAGTAGAAGGCAAGATCTGTGGACAGAGGACCTGGCTTTGCTTCCCAGCAGCCAGTTACTTCCTGGTTAGGGGACCCTGAACTCCTGTCACCAAAAAGATGAGGAATCAGTTGGCCTTTAGACTGTTGGCTTCAGGCTCAGCTAGATCCAGGCACTCAGTGACATGAGCACTTCATCCAGGAGCCCCGTCCCTCTGTGGCCCCATGTCTCAGTGCCCCTCTCCTGTGAGGTGGCCTCCCTCTAAGCAGCCTCTCCCCAAGTATGGCAGAGGGCATCTAGGCTGGCATCTAGCTGGCTTAGCATCCTCCTTCTGAGCTGCTTCAACTCAAGTCCCAGAATTGAGGCTCACTGACCTATTGATTGGGTCACATATGCCACCCTGAACCAGTCACCGCACCAGGGGCATGGCAGGCTCAGCTGAGCCAGATGTGAGTCATTCTCTCCCTTCTGGAGCCCAGGGGCACTAACCCCCCTCAAACACCCTGCCCTGGAGAGCTAGCGGGGAGGTGACTCTGCAGGCCTGGGGGATAGGCAGATTCAGGGCCAGCGGAGCTCCTGGAAGGAGCCCAGTGTTTCTGCTATCTACCCAATCATGGGACAGTGGGGCTGGAGGCTGGTAACAATGGATACAAGGGTGTTTACAAGGTACAGGAAGCGTGGGTGAGCTAAACTGCCTCTCTGTGGTGGCAGAATGTGCAAGCTGATATGGTGACCGCAAAGGCTGCAGGGCCCGCTGTGGGTTTGGAGGAGGCCACCTCCCACCCCTGCCCGCCTGCTTGGGCCTCCCCTGTGTGTGTCCCTGGTGACAGCTCTGCCAAGGAGCCTTCCTCTGCCACAGGCCCTTGTTCTACCAGCTGGTGCCACCTAGCAATTCCCAGGGGAGGCTGAGCCTGGCGTTAGCAGATCTCCCGGGAGGCATGGGTCCCTGCTCCCCCAACCCCACCACCGCGGCCAGGCTGGATTACAAGACAGGCCCAAGCCCCACCTCTACAGAGCCCAGGGAAGTGGCTTTCAGCCTGCACCCCACTCCAAACCCCCAAGCTCTCAGATCAGAAAGGAAGTAAACAACCAGCAAGCACCACTTCGCAAACTTGGGGAGAATGGAAAAGACTCGTGAAATTTTCCATTGAAAATCTCAAGGAAACCATTAGCAGCCCACACAGACGCAACAGGAGGAAACAGTTTCATTATTTCAGATGGAGTCTTGTCTGATTTAACAAGCAGAGCCAAGCAGTTTATAGTGTTCCTCCGAAGCCTGGAAATCCAGGCAGGCGGCTCTTGGAATCCAATCAATGCCTTGTGGCAGGACATTTAAAACACACAGGAGCATCCAGGGCAGCACCTGCACCCTGCCCTCAGGGAGGCCCAGCCCTGGCTTGCATACCTCCAGGGACAGGGAGCTCATTCTCTACAGGCCTGCACCTGCCAGATCTCGGCAGCTCTTACTCCCAGAGTCCTCCATGGAGACCTGAAATCTGTTCTCAGGGACCCCCAAGCCCCGTCCCTGCAATTGGAGCCTGTACAGCCTGGGCTCCTTGGGAAAGGGGACTTGGAGGGAGAGCATAGTCGGCACCCCTTCCGGGGCCTCTCCTTCCACCAGGCCACTCACAGGGAGAAGTCAATACCCCCTGCCCCAGGGATCCCTGTGACCCCAACCCTGCATGCATAAGAAAGGCTCAGCTGCTCCCTGAAGCAGAAGCAGGGACTGTCCTGGGGCGGGGTGGTCCTCACGCTGGCTGCTGTGCCCGGAGCTCATGTGCACATGCAGGTCTGCTTCTGAGACGCTGACCCTGACCTCCCTCATAGGGAGGCAGGTCAAGGAGCTGGGTGCAGCCAGGCCCAGGGTGGAAGGGGGAGACCAGTGGGCCCCCCAGGGGCCACGAAGAGCAGCCAGGAGTGAAGGGTTTGCAGGACAGGAGGAACAGGGCCCTCCCGCACACTCAGGTCACACACTCAGGTCCTTCCTCTGTGCTCCCTACAGAACCTCTTCGACAGCATCAAGAGTGAGCCCTTCTCCATCCCTGAGGACGATGGCAGTGACCTCACTTACACCTTCTTCAATCCAGACCGAGAAGGCTGGCTGCTCAAGCTGGGTGAGAGGCCTGTCTGTGTGCACACACCCCGATGCACACGTGCTGATGCTTATGCATGCTCTCGCACACACTCTGATGCACATGCACACTTGCACACACACCCTAGCTCACATGCACACTCAGGCAAGTGCAGGCTCATGGCTGACACTGTGTACATGGTCACATGCAGCCCTGGGGGTCGGGTTGCCACAGCTCCGGATCTCATGAACCACAGCACAATGGTCTGCCTGCTCCATCCTTCCATTCATGCATCCACCAATTCATCCACCCATCCATTGTCTATCCATCCACCCATCTGTCCACCCACCCATCCACCCACCCATCTCTCCATCCATCCATCCATCCATCCATCCATCCATGCATCCATCCATCCATCTGTTCACCCACCCATTTGTCCATCCATCCATCCATTCATCCACCCATCTGTTCATCTAGCCACCCATCTGTTCACCCATTCCTCCGTCCATAGACCCATCCATACACCTGTCCATCCATCCATCCCTCTGTCCACTCATGGGTCCCAGGCGGTGATGGGGAACCTTTTGAGCTTTCAACGATAACTAATAGCCTACTGCAGTACTCGTGCTGTAAGTTTGCCACCACTGGCCCAGGAATGAAGCAGCGTGGGAAGGCTGAGCTGTAAGGGCAGGAGGCAGAGAGGCCCATACACAGTTCTGAGGGCTGGGGAAATGCATCTCAGTGAGAGACACCAGTTAGTCAGGACCTAATAAGCAAGGCCAAGGTGCAGGGGCCTGTACAGCCCAGCTTTTGGGTGGCCTTTCCATGGAAGCCAAGGCTCAGCAAGGGTAGGGCATCTGCCCAAGGTCACACAGACAGCAAGTGGCAGACTTAGGGGTGCAGTGCATTGGATGCAGGAGGGGAGGGAGTGTGACAGGATGTGGCTCAGGGGATGCTGTGGCAGATGGGAGGTGGCAGCTATAGTAGGTGTGGCAGTGGAACCAGCTGCAGGGTATAGCCAGGGAATAACAGGGCAGGCTACCTGCCCCAGTATCCTGCACACACACTTCCAGAGCTCCCAACAGGGACAGGCAGCCAGGGACAGTGGCCTTTCGAGGCAGCAGAGGAGACGCGGGGGTCTCGGTCAGGCAGCTTCCAGCCCCACACGGCCCCAGCACCTGCCCTGGCCCAGCAGCATAGGGATCTGCAGGACCCCAGCCATGGCCAGTCTGACCCCAGACCTGGTCAGCCCCGGGGAAATAAGTGTTGTCACCGGTCCTGAGCCTCAGAGTCTCATAGCCTGGGCTCCTTCACCCTGGCCCAAGTTTCTGCAGTTGGACATCAGGGACAAAGATTCCCAGACTTCAGTGTATAGCAAAGCCACCAAGAGCTCAGGCTGCGGAATCAGGACACGGCATTTAAAGCCCATCCCTGACGAATGTCTGAGTCTCTCTCTCTGCCCCGGTTTTCTCATTTATAAAATAGAGATGAACATGGTCCCTCTTCATGGGTGGCTATGGGGATGGAGAAGAGAATATTTTTTAAGTCCCCTAGAACCCTGCCTGGCAGATGAAAGATTCGATGCTTAGCACAGGGTTGGGGGGAGTGACCAAGGGGTGCTCAGAGGGGAGCAGGGGCCAGGAAGGGTAGGGAGGGCACTGTCGCCCCCAAGGCCAGGCCTGGGGCAGCCCTGCGTGCAGCTCAGGGGGAGCCTGGGTTCTGGAGCCACTAAGGTTGTGGGGTGCAGAAGGTCAGTGTGGGAGGGGCCACCGGGGCCCAGGAGGAGGAGGACTGACCTGGCTGTGCTGTCCACCTCCCTCAGGGGGCCGTGTGAAGACCTGGAAGCGGCGCTGGTTCATCCTCACTGACAACTGCCTCTACTACTTCGAGTTCACCACTGTGAGCCACCCCTACCCCTGGCCCCTCTCCTGTCCCTCACCAGGCCGTCACCTGGCAGAGCCCATTTTACAGAGGGGGGAAAGTGAGGCCAAAGAGTGGGCAGGGGCGGGCCAAGGGCGGGCCCTCCTCCCTGCTCCCCTCCATGGCTGGGTCGAGTCAGGCAAGATGGGCTCCCTCTCTGGGTGTGGGGAGCCCAGCCTTGCTCCCTGCCCTCGGCCTCAGGGTTCTGCTGGCCGACTGCCTTCTTTCCCCGCATAGGACAAGGAGCCACGGGGAATCATCCCCCTGGAGAACCTCTCTGTGCAGAAGGTGGACGACCCCAAGAAGCCAGTATGTGTCATGTTGGCCGCCCCCCAGAGAGCTGCTGTGCAGTGTCCCTGAGGGGAGAGGAGGGTCAGGAAGCAGGGTTTCCTGGACACGGCCCTCCGCATGCTCCTTCCTAGGACCGTGGACCCTCGGGTCTGCTCAGTGCCATCAAAAGGGCCTGGCCCCACTTGTTTTACAGAGCCTGACTCTGACACTGGCTGGGAGACCTCATATAAGTCACAGCTGTCTCCCGAGCCCGTGTCCCCACCTGTCATATGGGGACTTATGGGACAGCAGTGATTTACTTGGAGCCGGGCCTGTTGCAGATGTAGCCCCTGCCCTTGAACCTGTCAGGGTTGGGGGGTGTCCTCCTGGGGGTCACTAGAGCACCTGTCTCCCCTAGAGGCCCCCAGAGAGCGGGGCCGGCTGCCTGCCCGCCCGCCTGAGCCCTGGCCCTCCCCTAGTTCTGCCTGGAGCTCTACAACCCCCGCTGCCGAGGCCAGAGGATCAAGGCCTGCAAGACAGATGGTGACGGCAGGGTGGTGGAGGGTAAGCACGGGTCCTACCGGATCTCAGCGGCCAGCACTGAGGAGCGTGACCAGTGGATCGAAGCCATTCAGTAAGGGCGGCAGTGTGGGACAGCTTCCTGTTACCGCGCAGAGCCTTTGTTTCTCTGGGTTCTCAGCTTCTAGCATGACAGTCCCTCCCACGAGGGTCCCCTCATCATGCCCTGAAAGCCGGGTTCCGTGCCAGGCCCAGGACCCCGGAGGGAGGCACCAGCTTTAGGAGCTGGTGGGAGCGAGTTGCCAGGAAGCTCCTGCCCATCCCCTGGCCCTCTGAATGGTGCCCTCCCCACCACCCGCCCCTGGTGGAAGGGAAGGGCTCTCCAGGTGCAGGGGCACCATGGGCAGAGACAAGAGGACAGGCCCATGGGGGCCCCTTGGATGCCACCCCAGGGCCCAGGTGAGGCTGGGGACTGAGCAGTGGGAGAGGACACCACAGAGAGTGAGGCTACAGTCCCCATGGTGACACACTTCAGCTTCCTCTGGGGCACTGGGGAGCCACAGAGTGGTGAATAGGGAGGGACATCTGAGAAAAGCCACAGTGTGGGGACTAGATTGTGTCACCACAGTGGCCACTGATGGAGAAAGGGGACGGGAGCCCAGTGGGGACGAGCTGGAAACCATGCTCTGGGCAGGAAATTGGTACAGGGGAGACTGTTACCTGAAGTAGTCGGGGTAGTCACTGTCCCAGGGGCTTGAAGAATTTTTTGACTCAGACGTTGAAGCAGCCCTGTGAGGCTGCCAGGCCAGAACCCTTCTCATCTCCATTTTGCAGATGGGGAAACTGAGGCCCAGAGGGATTAAAAACTTGTCCGGGGTCACAGAGCCAGTGAGGTGCAGTGCTGGGCCCCTAAGCTGGTCTCTGGTGCCACCCAGGTTCTTCTCCTCCTCTTCTCCTCCTCCTCAGTCTCCCCGGGGAGCTAGAAAGGCAGATTCCTGACTCTCAGCCCCTGCCCACGGGACACTGGGTGTGGGCTTTGCTGGGGTCACCTCCTTGGGAGCCCCACACCCCCAGTCACAAGCCCCAGGAGTCCCAACTCCGTGGCCCCCGCTCAGCCCTGATCCTCATGTCTGCTGTCACTGCAGGGCCAGCATCACCCGCGTCCCCTTCTACGACCTGGTCTCTGCCCGGAAGAAGAAGATTGCCAGCAAGCAGTGAGCTGCCAGGGAGGTGGCGTGGGGAGGCCCCTCCCACCTTTCCTGGCCAAAGACCCCCAGTCGCCCGGAGAAGACTATGGGGGAGGCAGAGCTCTAGGGCCAGGTGGGAACCCCAGAGGGTGCAGAACCCATCTTGAGGTCCTGGCACCCAGCGGCCCTGCCCCCTGTCCCCCGTGATACAGAAGAGGCGAGGAGCGGAGGGTGAGACCCCAGAACTGCATCATCTCTCAGGGCTCTTTGCCCTCAGATGCCATCAGCCCCCAAAGGGGCAGGCCCTGGGGTTCCTGGGGGCTCCGTGCCCTCAGCCAGGCTGCCCCCTGCTCAGGGTGTCTCTGTGAGCCCCCCATCCTCAGTTTGGGCTCGGCTCCACCTGTTGGAGCAGAGCTCAGCACATTTGTGGCCCAGCCCCAGGGCCAGGACACTGGGGACAAAAGGAGCCCCAGCCCCAGCCTCAGACTCTCTGGCCGCTGTGCAGAAGCAGTGGTGAGCCGAGGGACCCAGGGCTCAGGCCTGGGTGGACAGCCTCGCCAGGGACTTCCCTGCTGGACTGTGGCCAGCGAGCCAGCTCCCAGCACCCAGGATCCCGGCCTTCTGCAGCCACGTCACAGAGGCGCTGCATCCTGGTACCGAAGGCGACTCTGGCTCTGGGAGGCCCCACTTCTCAGAAGAATGTCTCACACCCTCGCTCAGGCCCAGGGAGCCCCCAGAGGGAGACTGCTTGGCTGGGCAACAGGAAATGCCTCTGCCCCCTGCCAGGCTGAGTGGGTGAGTGTAGCAGGCAGACTCCCCAGGGGGAACCGCAGGTCGCCAGGCAACCGCCCTCCTTCCCGCCCCCACACAAGCACGCTTCACAAGGTCAGGATGGCGTCGCCACCTGTGAAGGGGTGAGACCCCTGTCCTCGAGGGTGTGCGAGCACCTGGTAGCCATATTGCTCTGGATGAGGCCTTGCAGAACATTTGGGGATGTGAGCTGAGCCCACCTCAGCTGCCCCGTTTGGCCCATGAATGGGCACCGGAGGTCGTGGAAGGAGCACTGGGCTGGAGATTGGGCCTTCTGAGGTCCTCTCTTGTCCCTGGCACACATGGGCTGTGTGCCCTTAGTCCACTGCCTCCCGTCTCTGGTCCTCAGCTTCCTCCCCATCCTTGATGGCGTAGGACCAACCTGCGCAGCTGTTCTGCGATTCACTCAGAAGTCAGAATAAAGCAAGTGGTCCAACTCGTGAGTCAGGCTCCTTCCCCAACACCTTCGCCCTCGTCCCTTCCCCAGACAGGGAAGCGGGGCACCCAGAGGGCCCTGTAACCCCGTCCTTAGGACACTGGGGCTGCCACACTAGACAGAAGTGCCCAGGGACTGGACTTCAGGCAGGGCTCCCTCGGGGCAGGGGAAGGAGCAGGGCCAAGCTGATTCTGCCACGGCCAGGGAAAGGGAGCTGGCCTCGAGGTCTACAAGTAGAAAAAGTCACTGCGGCAAGAGACAGCTGATGGTCTCCCCGCCTCTGGAGTAAGCACAGGCTGTCGCTGGAGGGACTTGATTCTGTGGGCTCGCTTCTCTGTGCTCCTACAAACATGCCTGAGCCACAGTGCTGTGCTGGGCACTCTTCTAGGCACGGGTAGAACAGGACAGAGTCCCTGGTGCCCGGGCTCACACCTCTAGTGCTCCTGAGTCCTAGGGCATGAGACTGCCCCCTGAGGGTGTTAAGGGCACTCCACATACTACCTCAGCCCCCACCCGAAATCCCATCAGTCCTCAAAGGCCCTAAGAAGCCTGGCCAACTCTCCTACACATTCCTGCCTCCAGCCCATGTTTATTGGGCATCTGCTGTGTACCAGGATCCGTCCACGGAGCCAGAGACTCAAAGATGATCAGGACATGGAAATGGGAGTGTCCCACTCTGACCCGCTGGCCCAGGCCCAGGTCTCTACCCCTGCCAAGGCGGCCTGTGCCCACCTCTGGCCATCCTGCTACTCCTCACTCTGGGCAGCAGGGGGCGCCCACCACACGTGTATGAGAGCTACTGGGGCCCCACCCCACCCTGGCAGAGACTTGTCAGCCGGGAGCCCCAGCCAGGACATCCTGGGTGGGAAGCATTTGGCCCAGTAGGGCCTGCAGGCTTGGCAGAGGCCCATGGACCACACTAGCGGGGACCGGCTCCTCATCCCCTGCCTTGCCTGGCACAGGAAGATGGACTCACTCGCTCTCTTCTGCTGTGTCCCCTCTCGCAGTGATTTTTCTCTCTGGGGCCTGGCCCAGCTGAGTTCCGCAGCACAAACCTTTGACAAAGAGACTTTCTCATGCACAGGGTCTCAGGCACCAGAATGAAAGCCACTTACCATGAGAGGCCACAGGGGGCAGCAGTGAGGGCCATGCAGATGGCTGGGGTTCAAGGCCCAGCTCTATCATGAGCCTTAAGAAAGTTTGCAGAGCACTCTGGGCCTCCAACTTCTCCTCTATAAAATGGGAATCACTGAATAGAAGCAGAATGCCCAGGAGAGCATTGACTGGCTACTTGGGTTTATTATTATCACAGGCAGATTGTGTGCACTGTCCTGGGAGGCAAAGATGGGGCCAAGGGAGGAGAAGCCAGGGTGGGGAGGAGGACATCCTGGAAGGCTGCTTGGAAGAGGTGACCTAAGGCAAGCACAGTGGAGGCCTGGGCTTTCCAGCCAGGGGGCCCATGAGAGACAGGGTGAGCGTGCAGGACAAGGCCAGGGATTTCTGGGCCCACACACCAGCCCGGGGGGCCACAACGTTGCAAGGTGAAGGGATGCCAGGCTCTGACGGGGGTGGGCTTTGAGCACGGTGCTGTGACCCTGAGTCCCTGTGCCCCAGCTCCACCACAGGAAGCTGTGGGGGACTCGGCAACAGCTGTTGAGTAGAGGCCAGCACAGTACCAAGGCTCCCTGAACAGGGGGCACAGGTGGTCCTGAGAGGAGTGGATGGGGCAGGGGCGAGAGTGCCAGGGCACAGGAGATGGAGGCGGGCAGCCTGAGCCGGAGGCAGGTGTGAGACCTGGAGAAATTGATTCATTAGGGATGATGAAAGGAGCTAAATATGTTTGCCGGCTCAGTGATGACTCAGGCGTCCCCCAGGGGTTCACAAGTATGAGCATCAAAGAATCAAAGGTAGGCCGCCTCCCGCGAGGGCACTGCCGGCCTCAACCCTGCTTCCTGTGATGGGAGGACCCGCCTCTCTGACCTGCACACCCCCAGTCCCCCGACACCTCACCCAGGGCGCTGAAGAATGAAACCTCGGGTTAGACAGGCAGGTCCAAATCTTGGACAAGTGGATGAGCCTCTATGGACTCACGTTCACCAGGGAGGCCCCGGCCCACCAAGCCTGGCCCCGCTCCCCCTCCTGGCTGATGCAGTTGTTCCCATCACATTGGGCTCCTTCCAGAAGCTGAGGCCCCTCTTCCTGGAAGCCACCAACTGCCCTCCAGGGGAAGAGCCTCACTGGGCACATAGAGGATGCAGGCTTCCAGGGCCAAGTTCCAGCCAGCTCTGGGCTCCAGGGAGCAGGGATGAATCTGAGTGCTGCTGCGAAGATGAGCAGACAGAGGAAGGTGAGAAGGCCCCCACTGTGGGGCAGGGCTGCGGGGAGGACGGTCCAGCTCCGGAAGAGGACAAGTAGGGTGGGGCTTTGGGGGCCAGGAAGATGAATTGTTCACCCTGAGCCAGAGGAGCTGCACGACACGCAGGTGGATAGCATCAGGCATGGTCACGAGGCCCCTACCACCTCTGTCCCCAGTAGAGATCTTAACCTTGGGGGGGTCTCCCTGTACTTTCTCCGTTCCAGTCACCTCTGTCCCCAACCCTGTCCTCCATCCATATGTCACATGGCACACCCACTCATGCTCGACCTCTGCCAACATGCCAGCCCCCTGAACACGTAAGACCAATCAGTTACCCCACCCATGGGGAAGGACCCAGGCTCAGCAGAGGACCTGGGTCCATGAGGAAACAACTCTGGCTGATCTGGAACACAGTAGGCAAAGGGGGCCACAAGGTGATCACCCACGGTGGGGCCCTTCTGACAGTGCCATGATGCTGGACTAGAGGGATGCTGCAAGAACAAGAGAAAACCAAGACTGCCCGGTGCCCCAGGGCATGGGCATCCTACAAATGAGACATATTCACAAGGGCTCAGCAAGGAAGTCGGGACATCTCCCCAAAGTGCTATGTGCACAGATAATGATCTTCATGGGCCTCCCTGACCCCACCCCTCCCAGGCTTCCCTAAGGTTTCTGAAAAGCAGGTATGCTGGCCCTGCAACCTCCAAAGGAGACGAAGCCCACAACCTCTCCTTGCTCACCTCTTTGTTTCTGCATGGGGCCTTAGTCCCACTGTGAGGGTTTAAATCTAAAGTGTCCCCTAAACTCTCATGTGTTGGGGAGGGTTTCAGAAGGTGGTTAGATCATGGGGTGCTGTACTATCAACAGCTTCATTCATTGATGAGTTCACAGCTGAGTGTGCTGTTAGGAGGTGGGGCCTGGTTGGAGGAGGTGGGTCACTAGAATGGCATATTCTTTTTTTTGGGCGGGGGGAGTACCAGGGATCAAACTTGGGACCTTGCCCTTGCGAGGCAGGAGCCAGAACCACTGAGCTAAATCCCCGGTCCAGAATGGTGTATTCTTTTTCCCAGTTCTGCCGCTCTCTCTCTCTCTCTGCTTTTTGACTGTCATGAGTTGAGCACCATTGCTCCACCACACCCTTCTGCCATGATGTTTCTGCCTTCAAGCCAGCTGACCATGGACTGAACTGTCGGAAACCATGAGCCAAATTAAATCTCTCCTTTAAAGTGTGGGTGTTGGGTATTTTGTTGCAATGGTAGGAAAGCTGACTGATACACCCATCTAGGTATTCCTTGGACTATATCACATCCTTCCCTCCTTCAAGAGGAAACTACCCTTCCTGGCTGTTAGAAGACCTGCCACAGGCTCCATGAGAAAGACAGAGCAGAACATACTGTGTCACATCTGACCCTCCCAGCAGCCCACGGGTAAATAGTTTTATTCCTATTCAACAAATGAGGGTGTGCAGGCTCAGGAAGTTTGTGACTTGCCCAGAGTAGATCAGCTGGTGGCATCTGATCACCATGGGATCCAGCAACTGGCAGGAGCTCAGCAAAAACTAAGAATTAGCTCTGTGACCTTTCCAGCCCCTTTCATCCTCCCAGGCTAACACTTAACTCTCTTCCTCTCTGCCCCAAAGGATTTTCATTGAATAAGTAAGAGCCCAGGACATTTGCTCCAAAGAAATTTTTTAATAAAATGTCTCCCATTCAAAAAGTCATAAGACACGTGCATTGTGGGAGATTGGACCATACAACCAAGGGGCAGAACACCCAAATATCCCTCTCCAAGCAGGTTCAACTATTTCCAGCACACAACCTTCTTTAAGAGTTATATCTCTGCAAGGGTACACCAAAAGCAATTTTGTAACCTGTGTCTGCCTTAAATACCGTATCCCCGTGTTGACCAGTCAGGGCGGGTGAGGGTATGCTGCAGTAACAAATGACCCCCAAATCCCAGTGGCTTCTCATACAACAGCTGGTTATGACTTGCTCACATTGCATGCCTGGGCCAGAGTTGGAGGGGGTCTCTGCTCATCACAGGCACTCAGGGACCCAGGCTGAGCAGGTGCCCCACTGACAAGGGTTTCCAGGAGCCCTGTCTAGACATGAGTTGCTTCTGCTCACGTTTCACTGGACAAAGCAAGTCACGTGGTCACCAGACTTCAAGGAAAGAGGAAGTACCATGCTACCACTGCACCATGAACCACTTACCCAGCAGGAAGGAAGAACAGAAATACCCGGTGTGCAGCACCAATGTAATGCTGATTATAACTAGGGTGACCAAGAATCTCCTCCTGCTCAGGCCAAAGAGCTTCCTGGAATCAGAACTTCTATGCTAATGCTGGGAAAGTCCTGGGCAAACCAGTTGTCATGTTCATTGTACCATGTTACAGATGCTTCACAGACTCACTTTTCAAAACCACACAGCAACCATCTTACAGGTGAGTTACGGATTTTTCCCTAGGCCCTTATTGCGTGTGTGTATTTTTTTTTTTTTGGTACCGGGGATCGAACTTGGGTCCTTGCGCTTGCGCAGCAGGTGGCAAAACCACTGAGCTAAATCCCAGGCCCTCTAGTTCCTTATTGCTAGAGACTCAGACTGCTTCCTGTTTTACGTGTTCATAAATACCGTCTTAAATTATCTCCCTG